TATGTGTTTGTGTGTATGTGTGTGTGGTGTGTATGTGTTTGTGTGTATGGTGTGTATGTGTGTGTGTGTGGTGTGTATGTGTGTGTGTGGTGTGTATGTGTACGTGTGGTGTGGTGTGTGTGTGGGGTATATATGTGTTTGTGTGTATGTGTGTGGTGTGTATGTGTGTGTGTGTGGTGTGTATGTGTGTGTGGTGTGTTGTGTATCAGGAGAACGACTTACAGGAGTCTGTCCTCTCTAGCCACCTTGTAGGCCCAGGGATTAGTCAGGTCAGGTCAGTCATGGGCCTTTGCCCCTTGAGCCATCTGGCAGGCTTTTTTTAAGTATACAGAATACAAATAGAAGTTCATTGTACAGCTAGACTTCATATTTCATAGTTCACTAAAGCTGAAGGAGGAGGTTCTAACCTTCACCTCCAGCCACTAAAACGACGGCTTCACTACGTCGCCTCCCTCACCTTCAGCCTCCCGAGTGCTGACACTGCAGAGGGGCATTTCGCCAGCGTTCACTTGTCTCCAGTTTTACTAAAGCTGCTCAGACCGCTTCCCTTCTCTATTTTCTTCTAGGTCCTCGGTTAGAAGTGTTTTCTGTCTGTGTCTTATCTTTCTTGATTAACCTCTCTAGAGATTTGTCTGAGTCTTACCTGCCTCTGTCTTCTGAGTGCTGGGAGGCATGCACCCCCCCCAGCTTCCTTTTTCTTTTTAGCAGTGTTGGGGTGCAAGCTAGGGCCTCAAGCATGCTAGGCAAGTGCTTTACCACAGGCAACACCACCGGCCTTGACTTGTTGTTTTCCATCTTATTGTGAGTGTATGTTGATTTGGCGGCACTTTGGGTACCTGAAGATCTGTAGTAAGGAAGTTTTCTTCCATAGAAGTTGTACAGTGGTAGGTGTGTGTGTGTGCGTGTGCGTGTGCGTGTGCGTGTGCGTGTGCGTGTGCGTGTGCGTGTGTGTGTGTGTGTGTGTGTGTGTGTGTGTAAAGAGCCAGAGACATTGAACCTTGATTTCAGTCTGGAACTGATAGATTTAGTTCCTCTGCTTTCAGCTACTTTAACATAAGTGTCTCTCGGAGAGCTGGTATTGGCATGCTATCAGGCAATCCTGTGTTTTGAAGTATATTTATCACTTATGATTCTTCAAAATAGAACAAAAATTAAAAATCAACTTTATGTGAGACTCAGAGCTTTGGACAAGTACCCAGATGCAGCCCAGTTTGGTCCAATTTGCCATCCTCCAAGTTCCCACTCTTGCTCATTTTTTACAGAGCATATTTAGATGGAAATACTGCACAAAATTCTATTCATAAATTCCTTTGTTACCACAATCTCTAATTCCCCACATTCACTGCTCCTCTTCTATCCCGCAGACACACAGGAGGGAATGTGATGCCCATGCATAAAGATGTGCTCCTGAACGTTTCCGGCCTGGTCTTCAAGTAGCCCCAGGGCATTGGCACTTTCAGGCCTTCTGTGAATTAATTCTTCACCTGTTTCCCCTTCTCTCTCCAGTCCAGATCAAGGTCACCTTGAGAGAGGGGGCTTCTGTGACCTGTGGGAGTGGGCTTCCTGTTTCCATTACGATGCTTATTTGCTAAACAGCATTTTGGACAATTTAGAAATTTTGTGGTCTCTTTTCTTGTTTGTTATTAGCCCCCCACAGGTGGTGTTCACGAGAACAGGACCCTATACTATTTTACACACTGCTGGATGTACCTAGGAAAATGAATAAAATACAGAAAAGGAAGCTGGGAGCAGGCCTGTAGTCCCCACTGTTGGAGGGCTGAGGCAGGAGGATTGCTTGGGATACAGAGTGAGTTCAGGGGCAGCCTGAGCAAGTAAGTTACTGAGACCTTATATCAAACTTTCAGAAGCTGGGGCAATGGCCCCGTGTGTGGGCAGGAGGGCCTGAGTTTGAATCCCCAGCATCCATGTAAACAAAAAGATGCAAACAAATAATACTTAAAAATTAAATTAAAAAATTTAATAGCTAGAGCTATAGTTCAAGGAGTAGAATACCTGTTTATCATTCTTGACACCCTGGATTTGATTTTCAGCACCACAAAATAAACAATGACAAATAAAAAAATAAAGGCAGGTGTGGTGATGCACACACTGTAATCCCGGCACTTGAGGCTGAGACCGGAGGATGAGGAATGGAAGGCCAGCCTAGGCTACGTTACAAGTTTAAAGCCAGACTGTGTTGCTAGAATCTGCCTTAGTAAATGCAAAGCAATCACAGTATGGCTAGGCACAGCCTTGCCTGAAATCCCAGCCAGCTCGGGAGGCCTGATGTAGAAGGGACTGTCACAAGTTCAAGCCAGCCTAGGCGACACAGTGAGGCCTTGTCTCAACAAATAAGTAAACAAACAAACACATGAATGAAATTTAAAAAAACTGAAAATAACTACAAACAGAGACTGCCGCACGCCAGGCATCCAGACACACGACTGTCGTCTGTCCATCCCACCGGAACCCCTGTACTTACTGGGGTCACAAACTTGTTGGCTTCCCATGCCCACAGTGGTGGGTCCTTATAGACCTCCTTGATGGAGGTCGGAGCCCTGTAGGAGTCACTGTAGGTGCTGATGGGGGTCTTGGTCTTCCGGGAGAAGAGGAACATGGTGGAGTCTCAGGGATGCGGTAGTGGGCTCTGCCTATCAAGGACTCCTGCTGGACATGAGTGACCACCCCTTCCCATAGACAGCCCACACCTCCAGCCTGGAAGGTGCCCCTAGTTGCTGTGACCCCCTCCTTTGGGGGACCTCTCAGTGTCCCTCCCCCCTCAGCCTTCCTGCTTCCACTCCACCCGGCTTCCTTTCCAGGATGGGCGTGCCCATTATGATATCACTTGCCTTGGCCCCATCCCGCACAAGAGGGTTCATTTCCTCCCCATGCCAGCCCCATCCTGCCTCGGACCCTTCAAAATATCCATATCCCAAGAGTTCAGAAGGCCCCTAGAAAACCCGAGGCCAGACTTTTCACTGCTGGAGAGAGGCAGCGGTTAGGAGGTTGTGATTCACTAGGCTCACACATCACTAAGAAGCAGAGGTAGAGGACATGCGCATCCAGGGGGTGAGTTTTCTCCCCTCCTCAGCCCACAGCCCAGGTAAGGAGACGCGTCCGGCTTGTTTGATGCTTTTAATATCATTATTTGTGTTACACGACACACAACCAAGGATGATGGTCAATACTGCGATGGAAATGTTAAAAAAAAATATTATACACGGCTCATGTCTTCCACACACCTTCTTGGAAATAAATTAGTGAGCGCGGAGAAACCTGGCTCGGTGGCAGCCACAGCCGGGTGGGGGGGTGTTAAGGCAGTATCTACAAGGGGCGGGGGAGCTGGGGTACGCTAAGGCCCTGGCTCTTCCCCTTCAACTTCCAGACAGGGAGGGAGGAGGGAACCTTGGACTCTCCTTGGACACAGAAGCTGCTGGCTGCCAGCTTCCTGCCCCTACCCACGGTGTATATACCACCTCAGTCTAAAGCCCTGGCCTGCTAGTGAACGAGTGTGTCCTGTGGGGAGGGCACTTTCCCCTGGCTCTCAGGGCCACAGACATTGATGGGCCAGAATCCCACAGTAAGTCAGTGGCAGAGGCAGCAGTCTACAGAGAGGAGGTACCCACGTTCTAGAAGGGTGAGTCAGAGCCCAGTGGGGTGGGGGAGGTTAGGAGTTCTAGTTCTGGGGCCCAGATGACGGGTGATGGGGTGCTAACCAGGGTGGTAGAGGGGCTCAGATGGGGGGTCACTATGGGCCTCGTGGCCCCTGCAGATACTTCCTGACTTGCCTCCCTTGGCGTTTTCTCATTATCTAATTAGGATCTCTTCACTAGGGGAGGGAAGGTGGGCTGGAGGTGTGGGGAGTCGACGGCTACACTCCGATACTTTGGAGTGGGCACCCGGGTGGTAAGGGAGGGGTGCTTCCCTTCCTAAGCCCACAGCCCCACACTTCCTCTCACCTCCCAGGACTGGCACCCAGAGGGTGATATGTGAGTGGTCGCCATGACAGTGGAAACACCAGCCTGTGTGGGGTGTCGGCAGGAGGGCTGGAGCAGCCACACTTTGGCCACTTCAGCTTGGTGAGAGGAGGCTGTTGGGGATAGGTCAAGCCGCCTGAGGCTTCCAGTTGTCTTTACATGAGGGCAGGTCTACTGCCAAGCCAGGGGAGCTGCATCTCCTCGGCATGGAGTTGTATCCTCAGCTTTCCTCCCCCAGATCAGCAGAAGCAGCAGAAGCAACAGTATGCATGACACCCTGCACACACACACACACACACACACACACACACACACACACACTTTTCCAAACAAATCTGCATGTGCTTCCCACGCCTACGCAGGCACACACCTCAGGGCACCTTCTGGCTGTGCTCAGAGACAGCTCTCTAGCCCTCTGCAGAAACTCCTGTGAAGAAATTCCTTCAGATATGAAAAGACTGTCAGTAATGTCAGCTCTTCTCTGTTTTCCAGTTGAGAGAACTGAAGCCCTGAAAAGCTTAGGAACTGCTTAGCAGCTCAGGGAGAATGTCAGAGCTGGGGCCAGAACCCAGGCTTCTGACTGCCAGGCTAGGCCCTCAGTCGACTGCATTCCCAAGCAGTCTTTCATCCTGTCAACAGACCAGTCATTTCCCCACCACAGACACCCACCAGGCTGACCTGGACAGACAGGTTCAACACACAGACACACATTCATACACACACACACACACACACATTCATACACACAGACACCCACCAGGCTGACCTGGACAGACAGGTTCAACACACACACACACACACACACACACACACACATTCACACACACAGACACACATTCATACACACACATTCACACACAGACACTCATTCATACACACAGACACACATTCATACACACAGACACCCACCAGGCTGACCTGGACAGACAGGTTCAACACACACAGACACACATTCATACACATAGACACACACACAGACACAGACACACATTCATACACACACGGACACACACAGACATACAGACACACATTCATACACACAGACACACATTCATACACACAGACACACATTCATACACACAGACACACATTCATACACACACACACCCTACCACATCCACACAGTCACTTGGTGCACTATTTTCTTAAGCTTGCCCTTGAAGGGCCTTTCTGGAAGCCAGCCTCCTGGACCTCAGGCTGGGGGAAATGGGAACTGGGGGCCAGCCTTATCTCTCGCTTCTAGCCTGGAACCAATAGTCAGGAGACTGGGAGAGGGGAAGACAGGGTAGAGAGACAGATGCATTGGTTAGAGGCTCTGAGAACAGGCCCTACCACCCCCAAACCTGGCCTCTCTCCGAGATTCCCGCCCCCAATCCTCAGCAAGGAAGGAAGGGGGAGCGGACAGAGCAGAGGGAGAAGGCAGTGATCTCGTGGAGAGGCGGTGCCCTTTGGACAGCTTTGCCGCGGGCTTCCCATCTGGAGATGAGGCGGAAACACAAATAGGTATCCGGGCTGGCACAGGGTGGGGAGGGCTCCCAGGTGTTGAGAATCGTCCCCGTTGCTTGGGGCCTTTTCTTTCCCAACCCCCTTTCCTTCCTTTCCAGGCTGGAGTTGGGGAATTCATGGCTTCACTGGCACTGGGGCCAAACCCCCGGCCTTGTGATCCCTTCACCCGACTGCTTACAGTTGGCCTCCTGGCCTTCAGTGCTGCCCCTGATTGCGGCTCTGGGGAGAGGTGGCAGGGTGCTTGGGTGTAGTTCCCCCAAGTAACTGAACATACAGTGCCCCCACCCCCCCAGCCCCGGGGCTGGAGACAGACCCGGTTTTGGTTTCTCTGGCTCCATGAACACACAGAGGTACACGTCCTACCATAGGAGGAAGCAATGACTGTTACGAGGTTGGCGGCTGTAAGGGCTCGGGGCTGTAAGGGGGGCCGGTGGGCCAGCTGGGTAGGGTCTGCCCCTGCCCGCCCCACCTGGCCCGACTCGGCCCCGCCCCGTGCGCCGCGGCGACCCCGCCCGCTACTGAATGTGGCAGGCGGTGGAGGAAGTGGCCTGGCAGCACATGCAGGTGGGGTTCACGGACTTGGGGGGGATGAGATCTAGGTCCTCATCGTCGGGGATCTCGTCTAACCGGTAGCCGTCCTTCAGCAGCTGGATGTTCAAATCTTGGTTGATCTGCTGTAGAAAAGGTTCGAGTCAGCTGGAAGGCATCACCCGGGCTGAGGCCGCCACTGCCACCCTGAGGCCACAGTGACAGCCCCTTCTCATATCAGGTTTATTTCCAACTCCGGCCTGGCTCCGGCCTCATTTCCCCCAGGCAAATCTTCCTAAGGCCCCCTACAGACCCCTGCCCAGTCCAAAGATCCACTTCCCATCTTTACCCTTGCTTCTGTTCGGGGTGTGCTCCCATTCCAGGTCCACTCCTGTAACATGTTGCCTGCATGCCACACCTGTTCTGTTTTAGAGCCCCGCTTTAATAACCCCAGGCTCACTGCAATTCAGGGTGGTGATTTCTTCCCAGGCTCTCCCGACTCCCGCGGAGCCCTGTCCTCATAGGGCTCCGCCCCAAATGCCTGCCTTCTGCCCCTTTAGAGGCCCAGTCTTGCAGCCTGGCGGAGGCAGTTCCGGCTCCCATAGTCTGTGGGGGCAAGGGGTGGAGCCTCACCTCGGCAGAGGAATAGCCAGAGGAAGAGTATCTGGACATGTCAAAGTCATCATCGCTGGCCGGAAAAAGGAGAGAGGAAGTGATTCAGGAAAAGTAAACAGAAAATTCTCAGTATCTTTGCCATACCCGCCGTCCCCCAACAGTATGATTTTAATAACCCCTGCTTATTATGCAAATATGTTTGCAAAGACAGGTTTCCCAGCTCAACCTTCAAATAAAGTGGCTTCTTAAACTCCTTCCGGATAGAACTGCCACCATCTCTCTCTTTCTGCCTGCTCCTCGGGTTTCTGTTTTGTTAACTTTTTTCTCTCTAGGTTCAAATCATCCTGGCTGTCTGGATTTTCTCAAAGTCTCTGGCTAGCCCGATGCTCTCCCATAATAGGGCTCTTCTCACTATGTCCTCTCCATGCCCATTCCTTAAAAACAAAACAAAACAAAACAAAAGAAAACAAAAACACCCCCTTGGGAAATTTCTCCATGGAGAGCTCCTGGCTGAAGAACACCCCACTTCCAGTAACATGGCAGATGCGGCCTGCCCAACCCCATCTGTGCTCACATAGGATCATGGGCTTGCCCAGCTGCCCCCGGGCCCCGTACACACCTGTCTGTGTCCAGCGCTACCAGTGGCTTCTCATCAGGGCTCTGGTCAAGCGAGGAGTAGCCTTTATTAGGGACGACCAGCCTGGGGAAAGAATTGGGGAGTTGGAGTGCCAGCTGGAGCACACAAACATGGCAGAGGATTTGATGGGGTCCTGTTCCCTCATTTTCCTCCCCCTCCCCCTGGTTCCCCCTGAGGAGGGAGAGGCCGGAGGCCACTCAGTGGGGCAGGGAGGATGCCAACCTCGTCCGGGCCATGACATTGTTCTTCTTGGGTTGCTGGTTCACAGGGCTGCCCATGCTGCCATTCTTCAGGGAACCCTTCCGGGCCAGCTCCCGCTGCTTCTCTGCAGGAGAACATGGGAGAGAAGCTGTGTCCTGCCCCAGGGCCGCCAGGCCTTGCTGCTTGGGGCAGCCTGCCCTGGGCCTTTCTTGTGCACGCTTACTCCTCTACCTGGCAGAGCCCATGGCCCGCAGGCACCTGATGCTTATGGACATGCATTTGGCCCTGCATAACTTGAGGTGGACTGTGGTGGATGAAAGGAGGAGGCTGAGTCCTGCTTTTGGGAACCACAGTTCCTGTGTCGGGCAGCCAGTGTGTGCTTGATGTCAAGGAAAGGCTAGAGAAGAAGAGATGAACACAGGGGGCTGGAGCAGCCAGGGAGGAATTTCTGGAGGAAAGAGGACATTAAGAGGGAAATCATGAGTCAGGCAGTGGTGGCACATGTCTTTAATCCCAGCACTTGGGAGACAGACACAGATGGTTCTCTGAGTTTGAGGCCAGCCTGGGCTACAGAGTGAGTTCTAGGGAGTGAGGACTACACAGAGAAACCCTGTCTCAAGGGTTCCTGCCCACCCCCGGAAAGAAGTATGTACAAAAACAAATCAAGAAGTGAACACAACTGTGGATGGGGTAGAGAGGAGAGGAGGTAAAGAAGTGGAGTTGGGAAAGGAGTCATTTATTCAGTTAATTATTCACTCACACACCAGAATCACCAATTACTCATCAAGTACTATATCACAGGGATGGAAGGCATCCAATGGTTATAAACTCAGAGCACACACACACACACACACACACACACACACACACACACACAATCTCAGAAAACAAGACAAGAGGAAACAAACCTCAGAGCACAAAAGCCTTGACTGGGACTCTGGCATTTGGGATCGATGTGGAAGGGGAAGGAGCTACCAAGGGGTTCATGGCAAGAGGCTGGAGGAGCCCATCTGGCCTCTGACCAGCCTGCAAGCTCTCCTGGGGGCCCAGGGCCTATACTACACCGTGGAGCTGGGCATCTGGTGGCCCACGTAGTGGTACATGACAGCCGTTACCACCAGGGGCTGCCGGGGCTGAGCAGGAGGCAGCCACTCTTCCTACTCATGTTAAGTAAAGCCAAGATCTAGGAAGAGGGCTTGTTCTACGGTAGAAACACAGTGGAAGTTATCTCAGAAAAGGAAGAGCAGCCGGGCAGTGGTGGCCACGCCTTTAATTCCAGCACTTGGGAGGCAGAGACAGCTGGATCTCTAAGTTTGAGGCCAGCCTGGTCTATAGAGCAAGTCCTGGACATCGAGGGGTACACAGAGAAACCCTGTTATGAAAAACACAACACAACAAAACTAACTAACTAACTAACTAACTAAGCAAAAAAAAAAAAAAAGCAAGAGCATAAGGATGGGGGGGGGGCGCCATTACAGCTCCTGTGACTCACTTAAAATGTTCCCTGATTCCCACGCCTCTGAGGCTCTCTCATCCTACTTCCCGCTTTCTTTGCCTCTTACTCTACAAGGGGTTTTTCCAGCCTCTCTTCAGCAGGCAGGACTGCCATTACTACATCTAGCCTCTAGGGGGTGCAATTTGCCTTAAAGTTCTTGGTGATTTTCTTTATCGCAAATGAGACAAGTTGTGAATTTTCATGAGCTTTGGTGCTAATATAATGGTGAAGGAAATAAAAATGATATTTTAAAAGCATGCTAAGTTTGTCTGAAATCATGAAAAAATGCAGACAATAATCTGGCAAGGCTCAGACTATGGACTACTATGCAACCATTTAAAAGAACGAAGTCATTTTCTATAGGGGCTCTGAGACATTATGTAGTGGGAGTGAACATGACTCACAAAATGTGTACAATGCAATGACATTTTTGCTAAAGTACAAAATGAAACCACGAGAACTTGGAATGGTTGCCTCTGGAGAGAGTAGAGAACTTATATGCATTTAAAATACTTTTTATTGTTGCATTAAACAATAATAAACAAAACTAGCTGTACTCTGAATAGAATGTCCTAGGAAGACAGACAATTCCATTGAGAGAACTGCTGTTCTGTTTAGAAATCAGCCTGGATGTAGTCTAGAAGGGAAGAGGCAAGGTCTGTTTCATTTGTATTTTTTTGAATAGACTGAAAGAACAGGTCCCGTGGAAAGGAATCGTGATAGCTGGGGAGGGGAAGCTTGTTGAGGAGATAAGAGGCTCAGTCTTAACTGAGGGAGATCTCAATTTGTGGTGGGCAGCTAGAGCTGTTCTGAGAAAGATGGCTGGACCGATGGAGGAGTTTTAAGGACAGTGGTGACCTGTATTCAGCGGTCAGCTCTCTCCTGTGTGACACGCTATAATTTTTCTTCAGGAAATCATTTTTTCAGTGAAAATCTGCTGTCTCTAGCAGCCTTGGGTCAATGAGATTTTGGTTCATGCAGGGGGAGGGGCAGTTTTCAGCAGAGAAGAGGGTAAGAACTGCAGCCAGGGAGCTTTGGGGAGCTGTGGGAGTCAGGTGATTTCAAAACAGGGAATGCACGTCAGAATGGACATGGAATCCACCCTAAGAGAAAGGCAATGAGACACCTGGAAAGGAGAGGGCTTCTCTGGTTCACTAAGAAGGGGTCAATGTCCCCAGACAGGCGCCATCCGGGTCCTGAGACTTGCCCCTCAAACATAGCATCAGCTGTATCTTTGGGATGCAGGCTCCTGGCTGGTCCTTCTGAGTCCTGTCCTGGGGTTCTGTGCTTTACACACTTGCAGCCACGCCTTGAACGCCTGGTGCCTCTAGCCTCAGAGACCTCTCCTAAAGCCTCTGCAGAGGACCATTACTGCCTTCTTTGTCTTGCAAGACATAAGGTGCCTAGGAGTGCCAATGACTTACTTGGAGGTGTAGTCTTGGAATCAGCTAGCCTGAGCTAGCCTGAGCTACTTTAATTGTAGCACCTTGCTGTAAACCCAGCCCGAGAGCACCTTGTTCACTTCCCACATCGCCCTCATCCCCCAGACACACTCACCCAGCTTCACTTGGAGCGGGGAGGGTTTGTAATTCATGGCTACTGACTCACCCTCCCGGGCGTCACAGTCTCCGTCTGAGATCGAGGCGGCAGCTGGGTCCTATGGGAGAGAAAGCAGAGAGACAGGGACCTATTAGCATCTGATCCCAGGGGTTGCCCAGAGCCTTGAAACAAACCTTCTCATCTGCCCTGAGTTTCCGGGAGCATTTGCTTCAGCAGCAGGCCAGTATTCAGGGAGAGAGAGGCAGACCCATTTACTATGACCTCAATAGAAAAGCTAAGATGTATGTCCAACCCACATCCAACAAGAGTCTTGTGTAACCCAGGCTGCTCTAGAAAGCCCAAACTTGCCAAAACTCACAAGACTTCCTCTACAAATTCACATACGCGCTGTCTGGCTCTCAGGCTTTTCTATGTATTTCCTAGGAAGAAGGTCTGTCTATGTCCCTCTGAGTTTAAGGGTAGATTAAGGTCAGAGCAGGTCTCCCCTGAGAGAGTCCTTCTTTTTCTGTTTCCTCTTTGCGGGATCCAGTCAACCAACTGGCCAATCCAGGTAAGACCTCAAGAGTTCAGCCACTGACTAAAAAAAATGGTGAAAAAAAGCTCTGAATAAGTACTTCTGAAGTTCCCAGATGAGCCCTAAGGAGTGTGCCCTGGGAGGCTGGATGGGAACCAAACCAGCAGGTGGCCATGTGGTTTTGTGCTGCCCCGGAAGCAGAACCCAAAGAACCCCATTCTGGGGTATGTGGCCTTTGCGATCTCCCTTGTATGAGCTCACACGAGCCTCCAACTCTGGGCCAGAGCCTGTGCTGCCCCAAGTCCTCGGCTGGCCTCAACGTCTCTCCAAAGTGCCCTCGCCCTGTGCGTCAGACCCACCCTGTCTCACGTCATCTATATTCGGAAAAGCTGGTGACCACCTTCTGTTTTTGTGGGGAATTAGAGATTTTATCCAGGTTAAGCAGTACTTGAATCAATTTGAGATGTTACTGTTTTACAATCATTTATTACAGGCAACAGGAGTTTTGTTATAATTCTTTTTCTGGAACACACAAAGATGCTTTCAGTATTTTTTCATAATTGTCAGATTCACAATTTTAGAAAGAGCTAAAGACGAGCTTCTCTTAGGATGACCAACTCTTATTTTAAAATGGTTTTATTCTCAGGCCTGTAGACTTGGCTCAGTGGATAAGAGAATTGTTCTTGCAGATGACCTGGATTAGATTCCCAGCACCCACACGGTGGTTCACAACCTTCTGATCCAGGGATCTGATGCTCTCTCTGATCTTTGTGGCACCAGGCACACATATGGTGTACATGCAAGTAAAACCCCCATACAAGTAAAATGAATCTTAAAACGGTTTTATTCTTTGAGAATTTAATGTAATGATTTTCGATTATATTCATCCCTACTCCTCCCAGATCCATCCCTACCTCGTTCCTCCCTCAACTTTGTGTTCCTTTTTTTTTTTTTTTTTTTTTTAAATAACCCAAGAGTTCAATTTGTGCTGATCTTATACTTCTGGGTGTGGGCTTTCCACCGGAGCATAGTTGACCCACCAACAGCCACAGTCTTAAAAGAAAATTGACTCTCGGGCTGGAGAGGTGGCTCAGAGGTTAAGAGCACTGCTTGCTCTTCCAAAGGTCCTGAGTTCAATTCCCAGCAACCACATGGTGGCTCACAACCATCTGTAATGAGATCTGGTGCCCTCTTCTGGCCTGCAGAGATACGTGCAGACAGAACACTATACATAATAAATAAATAAATTTAAAAAAAGATTACATTTATAAAAAAAAGAAAATTGACTCTCTCTGCCCTTCCCAGAAGCCATAAACAGCCTATAGTTCCCCAGCTAGGGGTGCAGGATCGAGAGCCCCTTTCCACGCCCGCTACAACATGGACTGCCCTGGTCTATGTAGCCTTGTGCAGGTAGCCACAGCTGCTGTGTGTTTATGAGTCCAGAAGACACCGTTTCGGTCTGGTCCCCCCTGACCTTTGGCTCTTATAATTTTTCTGCCCCCTCTTCCTCAACTGTCCCTGTGCATTGTGGGGAGGTGACAAAAGGCTCCATTTGTGGCTGGGCAGCCCACTGACACTTCTTCTCTGCACTCTGGCTGGTTGTGAGTTTCTGAATTAAGTACCAGCGTGACCAATGCACTGAGTGCTGCCATCTTCACCCAGGGACTGGAGTGGCCAACCAAAGGTACAAGGACTGCAGAGGATCCTGCTGCTTGTTCTGTCCTTGAAGACCCAGAAAGCAGACGGACAGGCAGATAGAATGCTCTAGGAGCGGCCCCAGTATCAGGTCCGGGGATCTGCGTAGCTCCTGGAGACCCATTTAAAATGAAGTGAGGTCTAGAGAAGCGGCTCCGTGGCTGACGTGTGTGCTGTGCAGGCAGGAGGACCTGAGTTCAGATCCCCAGAACTCAGGGAAAGCCGGGAGCACTGAGTGTCCACATCCCAGTGTTCCTACTGTGTGAGATGGAGGCAGAAACGGGAGCTCTAGAAGCTCACAGTCCAGCTAGCCTGGCATATAAAATAAAAATAAAGGGCAGTAGATGCCAGGTCTGATCCATTCCCAGTTACCCTGACCTTCACACGCACGCATGACAGGAGCACACCTGCTCTCTCACACATGACTGTGCGCACACAAATACATCGCACACACAAAAATAAAATAAAAACGAGAGTGGGCACGAGCACGACTTGTTACTACAGTGAGAGGGAGAATCGAGATGTCTGAGAGGGAAATCCTGACCGTCTGTCTGTTCCTGGGTGAGCTTGGCTGCCACAGTGGCTTTCAAGTTCCTTCAAGAAGAGGCTGGACCTTTCTCTGCCTTAGTCCCTACCCCTTAGCCATGGTGAGGTGAGAGAGAGACAGGAGCTCTGTGACAGGTGAGGTATAGCAGTACCTGCATCTTGGAAATGCCTGCATCTCAGAAATGCCTGCATCTCAGAAGTACTTGCATCTCAGAAGTACTTGCATCTCAGAAGTACCTGCATCTCAGAAGCACCCGAATCTCAGATAACTTCCCATGTGGCAATCCTCATTCCCCCAACTCTCAGAGCTCCCTGGGAGACTCCTTTCAAACTTCACCTTGGAGAAGCTGGTCTGCAGTGGCCCTTATCCACACTGAGGCCCCAATGGCCTCTCAGTTGCTACTCATGGGGGAGACAGAGACTTGATGGCTGGGCTCTGACATTACTCTTGGGCCACAGGGTGAGCTCACCCCCAAGACATCCAGAGGGAGGTATTTTCAGATGGGCAATCCTGTAAACATGCTGGTGGCACCATACTATGGAAGATCTGGTCCATTTCTAGGCTCCTCGGTCACAGTCTTTTATCCGTTCTGTAACCTTTGTTAGGTAGGACACACAGTGCATTCATTTGAAACTGGCTTCCTCAGGATGCTATGCTCCCACGGGCCATCTGATTATTTCTGTGTCTATCTACATCTCTTTGTCTCCTCAGCAGGGCCGCACCCTTCTGACTCCATTTTCTCCTTGAAGAAACCTGACGCTTCCTGCAGTTTGGATTGACATTTTATACTGATGACTTCTAAATTGCAGCCTTTTAATCTTGAACCCGCTCCTTGACCCTCTCTACTCTACCTGCTACATGAATGTTTGGTCTCACTGTTTTTCCCTGAGGTTGATTTTAGAGAACACAAACCCCTAGGCAACTGGGCTGAAGTGTACTGACCCAGCACAGATAGGTGCATCAATTCCTTCTCTGAGGTTGCAGGTGTCAGTGGTTAACAAGTGTGGCAGAAAACTCAGGAAGGACAGAACCTAGGACAAGGTCTGGGGAGCTGCTGAGCATCTCTGGTTGGAGACCCCATTATGGCTCTCAAGGCCCACTGGCAGTTCCCCCTAGTGTTTGATCCTGAGTGAAACCATAGGATCAAAGCCCCAGGCTGAGAAGCTCCACCCCAAACTCCCCTATCCAGCTGCCCCTCCATCACTGTCCATGGTAGAAGGCCATTTAAGCGGCGACTACAAAGGTCTTTGGCACAGCGCCATCAAAAGCTGTAGACTTTCTGAGTGTCTTCTCTGAGAAATGCAGGCAGTGCACCATGACCATTGCACAGAGATTAAATGTAAAATATTCATGAACAGAAGTAGCAGAGAGGACTCAGGCAGAAGGAAGTGTCTGGCTCCAAGAATCAGAGAGAATTTAAAATGCCCCCCAAGGACTTCCGACAGGCGTTAGCTAGATCCGGGAACCAGAGTGGGGATTAACAAGATTATTAATAAACACTCAGCATAGACAGGGCCTAAAATACGTCCCTAACAGCAATCCACGTCTCTACAACCATTCAAACAAATCCTCCAAAGGCTGCAGAGAAGATTAATAGCTCGGGCTATAGGCTAATGGCCAGCACAACATCAACATAGCCAGAGGAAGCAAAAGAGCCAGAAGCATCCTTAGAGTTAGTGTGGTCCAGCAATTTTCATTAACCTGTATCCCAGAACCCTGTGCTTTGGGTGGGGCTGGAAATGTAAGTGGGGTGTATATGTAGGAATGGTAGTTACAGGGTCCTGGGTTCCCTTCAATCAAAGAAAGCCATTGTTAGTTCACGTCTATATTAACCTTTCTGCAAAATTCAGGTTCGCAAAAGTGTTTTGTTGCTTAAGAAAAACCCACTAACTACAGCCCTGGGAGATGGCTCAGCAGGTGAGGGCGCTTGCCACTAAAGCTGACAATCCCTGGGACCCACAGAGTGGAAGGCGAGCACCAACTCCTGCAAATTGTTCTCGACCTCCACATGTGCACTGTGGCGCCTCCCCAGCCCTCACAAATAAATAAATATAATAGGAATGAAATGTTCAAAATTCACTGATTTAATCCAGTCTAGTCTTTTAAAATGCTTTATGGAAAGTACCGAAAACAGCGCTAGTGAGATCCGGGTACCGATCTGTGCGGGTGCGGGTGCGGGTGCGGGTGCACTCACTATGCTTGTGTGTGTAGAGAGGCTGAAGGGTCCTGTTGAGTGGCTGTACCTATTGCTTCTCACTGACTCTGGAGCTCTGCAGTTAGGCTAGACTGGCTGGCCGGTGAGCCCCAGAGATCTGCCTTCTTCACCACTTTATTCCCCCAG